TATGATTCGTTAGAGAGAAATTACAGGATAGGACTATCAATAAAACTAATAAAACTGATGGAGAAACTAATGAAACTGATAGTTAGTTTGACATTTTTTTTTGATTAAAGAAAATAGAAATACCTGTAATCTTTCGTTGCATTAATAAATTACATTAAAAACATTTTTTTGAATACTCAAACATGGCAAAAAATGCAACAAACTCAAACTAAACTAGAAATTCACTAATTTAGATTTTGTGACAACTATCTAATTGTTTAAAACTGTGAGTACAGTATGCTATTATATTAAGACATGTAGATAAGGAAATGTGCTGCACAACAGGAATGAGCCTTTTATCAATGAATAACAGTGGTATTCAACATGAGTAGCCTACCAGTGCTGACTGGACATAAACACAGGGGTGTGAGAGAGCACTGTCCTCTTCATCCTGTCCATCACAAATCATTGTGCACCTTGAGGAGACATATAGTTCTTGACTGATTAACAAGATCTCCTGCTTATTTACAAACCAGCTCATCTTTTGCGTTACGATCAAACGGAAATGTATTAAAGCAACCATGCATGCAGCGACGACAGGCACAGAGCAATTATTGTGAAATAATCGTCAATATAACAGACATTTTGCAACACTGCAGGTCAAGCGTTTCCTCTGACTCACCCGGACCACTGCGACGCTTCAAATCAGGATCCAGCAGTCGATAACTAGGCCTTTATTTAATATCAATAACTGGATTGTGGATAATCATTCCTCTATGGCGCCCGAAACAGTGTTTAATATCCGCAGTCGCATTGAGCGCGTCGCGCAACGCGGTGGTGAAACGCTTCCTGAGCGCGTCGCGTCAGACGCTCATGGCAGAGACCTGCAGACAGACATGTTTGATGCGGCGACGCGCTATCGACGGGCATTCTTTGACGCTGTTACAATAAAAGCCCTAAGATACCTGTGTTAAAACCACAGTGCTGCCTTCTAGTGAGAAAACAGGCCAGGTTTAATGCTAGAGGCGGTTTCATACACCAGATGATCTTGTGATGACGATACAGGCTTATAAAGCGAAATTAAGGTGATGAAAATGGGACACGACGTGTAATCGTGTGGATTACATCTAAGTGGTTACAACGCCATCGTCCGCATTTTGATTGAGAATTATATTGTGATTTTATAACGTGAATTATGACGTCTGTGAAACTGTTTGTGTTTAACAAAACAATCAAATGCGTTTACTAAAAATGTTTTCATAAGAGCTGAGGTTCTGCTGAAATGGTTACAAACCAGCTGAGAAAATGCACAATAATATCATAACCTCTTTAATTGAGTAGCTCTTTCAGACAGCTCGTTCAAATGATTGTAATTAATATAAATATCTTCTTAGAACCAAAACAGTAATTTGGACTTTGGATCCAATATCTTTTTTTTAGCTGAGAAAATGCACAAAAATAGTTCTTGACTATTTTATTACCTATTCAACAGAGACTATATAGACCTATCTTTTAGATAGCAAATAATTTTTATAAATGAATAAACAGATCTGGGTACCAAAACAATAATTTGGACTTTGAATAGCCTAAAGATTTTGACAGAGTAAGCAATAGCCTACTTTCAGTGTCATATGACAGTCAAAAAACCCCTGAAATTTAAATTTTTGTATTCAAATTGTCCAGTGTGGATGCAGATCATACAGGTTTTCATGATCTGCTGTTGGTATTAAAAAATGTAATCTACAATAAATGGACAAAAGTATTGAGACACCTGATCATTACACCATCAGGGACTTTAAGGACATCACGTTCTAAACGCATACGGAGCAGATGTGGCCTAATTGGGTGTGTCCCTTAGAGAGACTTGCAATCCGAAGGTTGTGGATTCAATTCTGAATAAACAGCTACAACAGCTTCCACTCTTCTGGGAAGGCTTTCCACAAGATTTTGGAGTGCTCCTGTTGGAATTTTTGACCACTCATCCAGTAAAGCATTTGTGAGATCAGGTACAGATGTTTGACAAGAAGACCTGACTTACAATCTCTGTTCCAGTTCATCCCAAAGATGTTCCATTGGTTCCACACCAAACTCATCCAACAATGTCTTTATGGACCTTGCTTTGTGCACTGGGGCACAGTCATGCTGGAATAGAAAAGGGCTTTTCCCACAAAGTTGGAAGAATAGCATTGTCCAAAATGTTTTGGCATGCTGCAGCATTTCCCTTTACTGGAAATAACGGACCTAGCCCAACCCCATACCATTATCCCTCCTCCACCAAACTTTACATTTAGCACAGTGCAGTCAGGCAGGTAACTTTCTCCTGGCATCTGCCAAACCCAGAATCGCCCATCAGACTACCAAACAAACAGAGAGGCGTGATTCTCACAGAACAGGTTTCCACCGATCCAGAGTCTATAGTGGCATGTGCTTTACACCGCTCCATCCAATGCTTGCCATTATACTTGGGTGATGCGAGGCTTGCGTGCAGCTGCTCAGCCATGGAAATCCATTCCATGAAGTTCCCGCCACACAGTTTTTTGTGTTGACAATAATGTCAGGGGAAGTTTGGAACTGTGACTTTATGTGGTCTTCTGCTTTGTGAGTTGCTGCTATCCCTAATGCTTCTAGTTTCCAATAATACCACCAACAGTTGGCCATGGAATATCTAAAAGGGATGAAATTTCATGAACTGTATTATTAATTTTAATGAACTTACTGCAAATTTTTTCACAAATGTTTGTAAATGCAGCCTTCTTGGCTAGCTCCTTGTTTTTATACATGCGGCAGTGGGTCTGATTGAAACACCTGAATTCAGTAATTATGTGGTGTGTCCCAATACTTTTGTCCATATAGTGTATATTCAGTAACTTAATCATACAAGTACCAGATACATACTGTAAATACATCTCCCACAATGTTTTAATAATTTTATCTTTTATTTTTATGTATAAAATGTGGAATTTCTCTGACATGGTTTGCGACAAGTAGAATGACCCATTGACATTGTGCTTGTTAATGCAATCAATCAATATTTGGCTTTATTGAGAAAGGAGGACACATGTTTAACAAGAAGAGCACTGCAGATGTTCACTGAACCCATCAAACTCGTGTTAACTCAAGTTTTATTAGTCACAGCTTTCAAAACATGATGGTACTCCACTTCTGCTCCTGAAGTCAAGCTGAAAGATATTTTATTGGAACATGCAGTAGTGTGCGGCACAGTAGCCTAAATGCATGCAGGGTCACCGCCAAAGAAAACATGAGAAAAGAAAAGATTTGGAATTCATAGAGAAACTGTGCAAAACAACATAACATTACAATCCTTTACAGAATCAGCCTTGAACCCAAAAGGGCTGGGTAAGAACATGAGGCATTTGGCTGATTGAAACTCGACAACATAATTATATTGTATCTGTGTAAAGTTTCTTCATTGCCCTAAAGTACTCCCACAACAATAAGACCCCTGAAGCAAGGAAGCAAGGCAAAAAAAAGAGGAAAAAAAAGCTAACATTTTTACAAACAACACAGATACACTTATTATAAGCACCATGAATTTAACATCTAGATTCAACCTTGCCATTTCAACATCCCATCCAAACTTCACTATTAATAATAAAACATAAACTAATATAAAATAATAGCAATATAAGAGTACATATAATACTATTCTAAAAGTGTCAAGCAAACAAAGAGCCCTTAAAAAGTGAACTGATCATGGTAAGCATTCACTGTAAAACACTTACGAAACAATGAACACTATTATGGTTTTGTAAATAGAGCCAGTTGTAAGAGATCAAATTCCACAAGTTTCTTTTTGAATTTTCCATTAATTATTTTTATTGCTCCTTCCTTTTCTCGTTCAGGTCAGTTCACATCAACTATATGATGACTATAAAGATAACGATAACTATATTAGCATCCACACCGACAGACAATAACGTTCTGTTCATTAAAAGCATGCTGCAGTTTTGTTGCCTGCCCCTTTAAATGTTTGATCTCTTTATAATGTTGATTCTGATTGGCTGTCATCAATCAGTCTGATAGTGATTCCAAAAATAATGTTCCTCTGTGCCGTTTTCGTTATAGCTGTGGTTTGGACTGTGCTATTCTTTTCATTTTATTTTTTAAATTTCATTTCATTTTTAAAACTGTATCTTTATCATTATAGTTAGCATCCTTGGTGTTAACTTTAAAGTTCATAAACGAATACATCCAAAGATACATAGTAAGAATTATTTGCAAACACTGTTTGTTGATACCATTTTGGCCCACTTTCTCCAAGTGTCTTCTGTTCCGTTTTAATTCCAGCATTGGTATTTGTCCCCAAATCTCTCTTTTCATCCATTTTCTATTTCTTATAGTTTCCGAACTGAACGGCCAATCGGTCATTATTAATTTAGTTTGAGGTCAAATTCTCATTCTCATTGACCATATGAGAATTATTTGTTTTGTGTTGTCTTTGCATTGTTTCATGGCTTAACTTGACTGCTGAACGCTGGTTTATTATTGTGATTTCAGACCAGTCGTCATCAAATAGGGGCAGGTTGTATACATAAGACAATCCCACTCTCTCTAGTTACTAGTATTTGATCCGAGTTCACTTTTTCAAGTCCAAGAATTGAATTTTCCATTAATTATTTACCAATTGAGTTGGGAGACATTTATTAATGTCTTGTTAACTTAACTATGTTGTTACTTATTTTTTTATCTTTCATGCGACACATCCGAGTCCACCTCCATGTCCGAGTCCAAGTATCACAACTCTGCTAAACTCTATACCAGACCATCTAGAATTTACAAAAAAAAAAAAACTTTCTCTGTAGTATTATTTGTTTTTAGTTTGTTATAATGCACACTTATGGTTTCAATTTAGAAATTGAAACCATAAGTTTCAATTTATGGTTGAAACTTATGGTTTCCCACACACACACACACACACACACATCATTAATATGTCATACAGCAGGTGACGCTGTTGCTTTACGGCTAGGAAAAGCCATGTTGTGTGTTGGAGTGCAGGAGAGTCATGAGTGGCTTCACCTGTACAGGGGTTTATAGCGGCTCAGGTCCTCTAGTTCAATGGCCTGGATCTGGTTATTGTCCAAGTGGAGCTCATGAAGACTGTCAGGGAGGTCTGGGAGGAGAGGAACATTCCTCATTATATAATTGGAAGTAGCACCATACATTAAAAATCATGCAAATTGTGATTTATGACCAAGGATATTCCTAAAGCTCATTCAAGTGAGAAACTGCACAGAGTAATTATCCAAATGTTCTTTCTGACAATAAATACGAGAAAAATGTTCACTCTTTAATGACTTTTATGATTATTCTAAAGAATCACCTTTTGGTATTCCAGTGAGTTTGGACTCAGAGATGCGCAGGTAGTTGAGTTTCAGGCCTTTAAAAGCACCAGGCTCAAAGCCGCTGTTCTGAATAGGGTTTCCGCCCATCTCTATAAGAAGCATTCAACATCAGACAGAATATCCCATCACAAAAACCAGCAGGCTCCATCTAAAAAAGGAAATGGTTTGGTCAGACTGTAACCTCTATACCACATAATGGCGAGCGTGCATACAAACCAATGCAGTTCATGCTGCCCAGACCAGAGAACGTTCCTTCTGCAACCTTCTTAATACGGTTCTCATGAATGCGCAGCTCCACCAGGGACGGGGGAAGGTTCTTGGGTACCACTGTCAGGAGGTTACGGGAAAAATAAAGCTTTTTTAAGTGTAGGAGGGGTGTGAAGGCTCGCGGGTGGACTTTGGAGATCTTGTTGTTGACCAGTGACAGAGCCTGGCGGGAGGCAGGAAGACGTTAGCATTTGGTTCATGGAAAGTCATGAAGACATGATTAATAACAGCTTGACCATGAGCATTAAATATGTACACAAAATCAAATGACTTATAAATGATGTTATGATTTAATGTCTTGGGTTTTTTTGTTTTACAGGCCATGTCAAATATTGTGTTTGGTGAGAGAGGCTGAGTAAATATTAGGGATAAATATTGGGGATAATATGAGTTCTAAGAAGGGAACTAAAACATTCAGTTTGGCACTGGCGTGTGTTTCCCGAACTACAGGAGCATTCTTCTTCAGAGACTTGAACTGTTTGAACATCCTGAACATACGCACAAACGTAAAGTAACGTGTGCTACGAACAACAGACCAATTTTTCAGGAGCTAGCCAAAACATGCTTGTCTTGTTGTTTCTTATGTAAAATAAACATCTTAAATATTAATGTTAAAATGCAAATATTCAATCTAAATCTACAGCATTAAAGTAAATAGTGACATTTTTAGCTAATATTAAGCTTGATGGGCTGCATCAGCCAACGGCGAATAAAAAAACAAAAAAAATCAAGCTGTGAGACAGGCACACATCAGTGAACAGCACAAGAAACCATCCATAAATTTACAGTATTATGAACTTTTCAATTTGAATAATATGTTAGTGTTTTGAGGAACACCAATAAGCCAAAACGTTTTTGCAACAATTTGCACTTTATTTTATATTCAGCCTCATCTATCTTTATTTTTCTCGCTTATCTCATTATTAACGGTGAGTAGAATTTATTGCGTGACCTTCACCCTCTCTAGTTCTCAATTCTTTGATCAGTATCAGTGTCTTACATAGAGGTTTGTAAGTCCTTTGAAGTCATTCTCCTTCAGTTCTGTGATGCGGTTGTTCTGTAGGTCCAGGAGTTTGGTGTCTCTGGGAATTTCCTTGGGCACTGCAGTCAAACCTAAACATGAAGACAAAATGTTTACAGCTAATTTAAAGCTCGTAGGATATAGAGCATACAGATCTGTATACAAACGTCTGTACAGAGAGACCGTTAGCTCACCATCTGGTCTGGATTTCCCCATGACAGGGCTTCTTATTCGACATCAAAATAACAGAATTAAATAGTGAACACAATTAAAAATCTTAACAATTACAGCATGTCTTTGACAAGATATTTAGTTCGATATAACCCAGTTATTGTGGCCAACTGTGTGCTTATTGGGCATTTTCAAATCAGTGTCAGGTTTATATTTGCATTAGTGTATCTTTATATTAGAGTGACCTGACGATGTTCTGCCACCACTTTAAACATGCACTTTAAAAATCATTTAGGTTCTTTTGCCACACATGGACCACATCACAAAGTTCCAGCAGGACCACATCAATGCACAAATCTAGCATTGTGTCTGTTTTAGCAGTGAAGTGTCCAAGATTCTAAATCAGGCCAATGATTCATGATGATTTCCAGCAGAGCCCAATAATTTATACTGGGCTGGGATCAACCTCTGTTCCCCTCCAGCCATTTATAATGTTCTTAAGAACCACAACTGCCAAGCCATCTAGCTTACAGCAGGAGCGAAAAGTAAAATCAATGAGATATTAAGCATATCAAAGAAATATATTGATATGTGGCCTGCAGTCATTTACCACAGAAAATCATTTTGACTTGTTTTTTATTAGTAAAAAAACATCTTCTGGATACCTTAATCAACTCAAGCTTTTTCACAAAGAAGACTTTTGTGTTTCTGTGTGTCGTAGTGTTTAATATACTCTTTATTCAGATCTAGGGAACTGCCATCATCACATTAGCTTAGTATTTTTTGTTTGGAATTTATATTTTTGAAAATGTCATCAGAAAGTGAACGTGTGGCGATTTACATTCGCAATGTACACTGAACACAAACTTTCATCCCAGGTGTCTGGTTTCTTGACGTGCCGCATACTTTTTGTAGGGAACACATCAGCATGCTGTGATATCAGTCTATCAGCACGTTTACGCTACCATTAAACAAAAAACATTTTAATGAAACTACACTTTTATTCAGCAAGGATGCATTAAATTAATCAAAAGTGGCAGTAAAGACATGTTTAATGTTACAAAATATTTCTACAGTATGTCAAATAAATGCTGTTCTTTTGAACTTTCTATTTATTAAAGAATCCTGGGGGAAAAGTATCATGGTTTCGACAAAAATATTAAGCAGCACAACCATTTTCAACATTGATAATAATAAGAGTTAAAATAACATATCAAATCAACATATTAGAATGATTTCTGAAGGATCATGTGACACTGAAGACTGGAGTAATGGCTGCTGAAAATTCAGCTTTGCATCACAGGAATAAATTGCATTTTAAAATAAATTCAAATAGAAAACACTTATTTTAAATTGTAATAATATTTCACAACATTATAGTTTTTACTGCATTTTTAAACAAATAAACAATAGTGTAAATGATGCAGTCTTTACATTTGTTTTATGTTATTTTATGTTAGCAAATAATATTAAAAATACTAGAATTAGAACTAGAACAATCATGCACTGAAGAGAGCGCCCATTAACAGTTTGATTAACCAACAGAACTGCTTTTGGGTCCCAGGGCGGTAAAATATTGCACAATAATAGCAGAACGTCACGTATGAGCATTAAATATTATTTTAAAACTTAATTTCTAAGAATAGTAATCATCAATAGTAATCAGTAATCAAGGTTCTTGTACACAAAATAAATTATCCCATAGAATATCTTGAGTTCAAGCCATTTTAAGCCAATGTACTATGAGCTCCAGTTGAAGATCTTTCCTGTTTTCCTTTTACAATAGTTCTTCTTCCAAGCCATCTGCCCACCTGCCACTCACACCAACAAGTGCTCAGTGACCAGCCGACCGCTGACAAACACAATGCCAAACCCCATAGCCCAGCACATCACAGCCCCCAAACCACAGCTCTGCACACATATACACCCTCTATAGAACATATTTTATGATGAAGGCACATAACCACCTAAATTTATACACAATTATAAACATCTGATTTAAATAAACATCACCATCAATTCAATTACAGCCTACATGGCAGAATAACGTCCAGATACGAAAGAAAATAAAAGAGTGCAGTGGACGGATCAATGTATTACAAGCAAACCTTCATCACAGTGGGAGGAAGCATAGAAAGAACCGCCTAAAGCGAGGGCTGTATTTTTCGATTTTTATATCTAATTCACAAGCATAAACAAAGATACAATGACATTTGCGAAAACAAAAACACTTGCAAAGACCAAAACACATGGCATAAAGCATTCATGCACATATGCAAACACAGTCAGACATGCACAAACTAAAAAGGAATACATATAATTAAAATAATAAGCTCCAAATTCCTAAAGTTCTTGTTGCTTCAATGGCTGTAAATGTTCTATGAGGATCATAGCTTGGGCAAAATTGGCTGGAGAAAGAAAGAGCGTGTGTATCCGTAAGTATGACTATAGGGTTACAGTGGAGCTTCAGTGGGTGCTGTTGGTGCCATGAAAAAAAAATACACAAACTGGGAAAATTTGTCAGGTTTTATCCAATTTCTGGAGCCTGCATCTAACCCAGGCCTTCTCACTTTCCCACATAATAAAAAGGCAAGCTCTGCCATCTGCTTTATGGGTGCACACATGCATGGTGGGTGGTTTGTTTGTTTTGTGTTTATATAATTCTTGTACATGTTTGTCAATCCACAGTTTATGTATTTAGATTTGAGTGAACTGAGTGATCACTGAAAAGCATAACATTCACTTGAATGACAACAAGTTCCTACAAGGTGAGGGTAAATGGTTAAACCAATCAGTTCAGTTAACAGTAAAGTTTCCTCTTTGACTGTAGGTCTGTTTTTCCCTATCCGTGGAAAAGAAAACAAGAGCATCTAGAAGAAATCACAATGAAATGAAGTGGTCCCTGTCAAAACCCTCAATATTTTTTAGGCCCAAATTACCACTTTTGTGGATGTACTGTTGACAAGACATAACCCAAGACTATTTCCGACCTTCTGAAATAAATAAATACTCATCAAAGACTTCTTCAGAGATCTTCATCACTTCTATTTCTCCCTTTCACATTCCTTCTCACTTTCCATGTCTATCTCTCTCAGACTGTCTTCCTGTAAAACATCCTGTGTGTGTCATAAAAACAACACAGAACCACTCCTAAAGTTCAGTGGAAAACACAGGCATTTTTCATTGTTTCCCATTCAGACCCCAGTTTTCCTAGAGACAGAACTACAACAAACACATGTTCATAAACGACTGTTTTTGCCTGTTTGGATGTGGGCTGTTATTAAACAGTCTCTATAAGGTGCTTTTAATAAGGAATTGAAACAATTTAAAGATTTGATGATTTATTGTACAGTTCATGTAAATATGTTTAATGATTATTGGCCCATTCACACTAAGAACAATATAACATTATATATTAGATATACATTAGAAGATAGATAACTGTAACACTGACTATATTATTGTCCACACCAACAGACGATACCCTTCTTTTTATTTTAAGCCTGTTACTGTTTTGTCATCTGTCTTTAAATTTTCCAGCTGGATTCTGTTTGGCTGTCAATGTTTTTATCGTTCATGAGCTGGAAAAATCATTCTGAAAGAGATAGATAGATAGATAGATAGATAGATAGATAGATAGATAGATAGATAGATAGATAGATAGATACTCACTTAGGTCTGAGCATTGCACCACATTGAGCTGACAATGGCATCCAAAGGGGCATAAGGACACATCTGGTGGCAGCTCCTCTACAGCTGAACCCTCTTCATCTCTCATCATTACCGTTGTCAGATCTCCCACTTCTCCATCCATAGCAAAGTCCCAGAATCCTCTCTGCTCAAAGGGCAGAGCCAGTGAGGGAGCAGTCAGGCTGCAGACACTGAGCAGCTGAAGCAGGAGAGAGCGGCAGGAGAACATTGCAGAGATACAGAGACTTACACACACGGACCTGCACCATGAGAAGACAAAAAGAGATTAATCATTAGTTAATTTAATTTGACACAGCTGTTTTTATTCGTAACTGTGTGTATCCTGTTCTGTGTGGGATTGTCACAAACTTTCATTAAAACTGAGTCTTTTCTTTCTTTGGAGCTGAATGTGTTAATGTGTTAATTACACAAGGGACAAAGTAGTTACTTAAGACTCTATGTCCTCTCTTCAAGTTCAGCCCGCAACCCATTTCCTTAGCTCTGTTTATAATAATTAAGACAGTTTTCACAAAGTACATCAAAGGAACAGGATGGAACTAAGATGTTATTTGGGGTTCGGGAGGATATTGTAACATTGCCATCTGAATATGAATACATCATTCGGCATTGCACATGCCCTCCCTGAGAAACACTAAAAGCTTTGACATGGACATGTAAACACTACTCAAAAGCAGAGGTGTAAAGAGTACCTAAAAACCATACTTGAGTAAAAGTATAGATACCTTACAGTGAAAATTACTCCACTACACGTTACAAGTCACCAATTCCAAAACAACTTGAGTAAAAGGCTTAGAATATCTGATTTTAACAGTACTTAAGTATTTTACTTATACTAAATATAGGCTCGAAAAATTCGCTAGTCAAAGAGATATGCCAGTGAAAAACTGTAATGTTGTGGAGAAGCTAGGGAAAACAGGCCGAGGCAAGGATCTATGTGCAGGTATTTAATGGAAAAACTAGAACAAACAATAAGCCAAAAACCAACAAACACCACGGGAGACAGGAAGTGACATAAAAATCCAGGGCAAGATACAGAGAGCATGAAACAAAAACAAGAAAGAGTTGATTTGAGAGGAGAGCAATCAGGTATGCAGTGGATGTGCTGGTTTGGGCCTCCTTGCCGGCTCCAGTCATGTCCTCATCTCATATATAAAACACCTGTGATTCACAGATACTTGCTAAGGAACGTCTCGGTTGCATATGGTAACCCTCGTTCCCTGAAGGAGGGAACGGAGACGTCACGTCGGATGACTGACGAAATTGGGATCTCGCTTAGAGAGACCAATCCACTTCGAGTGTAAACTAAATGAGCCAATGCACATTGGCATGCGATTATTGCATCCAACTGCTGCTGATCACAGCGTGAGTATAAGTAGGCAGCAGATGCAGCGCATATTCAGGTTTTCGC